CAGGGATGAATGACTGTGGATTTGAACAGTTTCCTACCTTTGGACTCCAAGCTTGGAAACAAACGTATGACTTTTCAACCAACAACATCAATTGTCCTTGTTTGTTTCCAACTGTCGTGATAATATGTCTGTGTATATATATTGCAGATTTTATTTCGATTTTAGCATGACTTATGTGGGAGCAGGGATGATTTGTTCACACATTGTGAATTTGTCTTTGCTTCTCGGAGCTGTGCTCTCTTTTGGTGTGATGTGGCCGCTTATTGATCAGCTTAAAGGTCATTGGTTCCCTCCAACTTCTGAAGAAAGTATGAAGGGCTTATACGGCTATAAGGTGCCACTTCACATTATTACTTTGGGTTAAAGTCCAATTTTGTTATGAAAGTTTTTTTTTATAAGAGCTGTGGATATTTGAAAGTTTTTTTGGATCACTACAACCTCAAAAATGTTAAAAAAGGAGAAATGTCGCCCCTAATAGTTAATAGTGTTAGCAGTCAATGCAAGTTTTTTAACGGCTCAAGCAAAATTGCCCTTTTTAATGTCATCGGGGTGATATTGATCTTCAAATAATTTTGGACAACCATAGCTCTTATGCAAAGACTTTTAGGAAAAAATTGGACATTAACCCTATTACTTTTAAAACAGATTTCAAGATGGCTTTGATTTTGCATTTACTCTTTTGACTATTCATCATCAGGTTTTCATATCAGTTGCCTTAATCCTTGGTGATGGCATATACAATTTCATCAAGATACTAATTTCCACCATCCTCAGCATGCTTGAACGAATAAAGAGCAGGAAGCTTCAAAACTGTAAGAGTAATAACCACTAAAGATTGGTTGGAACTTGCAAAGCTAGCTATTTTCCATTCTTCAAAATTAAGACAGCAGTTTTAATTAATACATTTTCCTTTTGGGGTTTCTGGCAGCAACATTAAACAATGCTGATCAAGGTCAGAGGAACTTAAAAGGCAACCTCAAACAGAATGAAATCTTCCTAAGAGATAACATTCCAATATGGATTGGAATCATTGGATACATCATATTCTCTATCTTATCCGCAATAATAATCCCTCACATGTTTCCACAGCTAAAATGGTACTTTGTTGTTGGGGCTTACATTTTTGCTCCTTCTCTGGCATTCTGCAATGCATATGGATCAGGTTTAACAGACATAAACATGGCATATAATTATGGTAAAGTTGCCCTTTTTGTTCTTGCTGCTTCAAGTGGAAAAGAAAATGGTTTAGTTGCAGGACTCGTAGGCTGTGGTCTGATTAAATCCGTAGTTTCTGTCTCATGCATTCTGATGCAAGATTTCAAAACTGCACATTACACTTACACATCTCCAAAAGCAATGTTCATGTGTCAAGTTATTGGAACCATACTGGGATGTATCACAGCTCCTTTAAGCTTCTTCATGTTCTACAAAGCTTTCGATGTGGGAAATCCAAATGGAGAATTCAAAGCTCCCTATGCTTTGATCTACAGAAACATGGCAGTTATAGGAGTTGAAGGTTTCTCTGCATTGCCCCACCATTGTTTACAACTTTGTTATGGCTTCTTTGCTTTTGCAGTACTGATAAATATGGTTCGAGATCTGGCTCCACAGAAGGTTGGGAAATGGATGCCATTGCCAATGGTTATGGCAGTTCCATTTCTGGTTGGGGCATATTTTGCCATTGATATGTGCGTGGGAAGTTTGGTTGTTTTTGTTTGGGAGAGAGTTAATTCAAAGAAGGCAGAGTTAATGGTTCCTGCGGTTGCTTCTGGACTTATTTGTGGTGAAGGACTTTGGACTCTTCCTGCTTCAATTCTTGCTCTTGCAAAAGTTAATCCTCCTATCTGCATGAAATTTTTGGCTTCATAGGTTTTTTTTTTTTTTTTTTTCTGTGGTTGGAGAATCATTTACACAGAAAATTTAAAACTTTAGAACCTGCATTGATTTAACATTGCAATGCAAATAGGTTCTCCAGGTTGGGTTTCTCTGTACACGTAACGCACAAGGAAACAGTATAATTGTTTTTTTTTTTTTTTGGAGACAGAAGGAGGGACATCTTAATTTTATTACACAGGGAAAGTAATGTAATGTAATAGGATTACTATGAGCAAAAATAATAATAAGAATGCATGTTTGCTGTGCACAATTCTTGCAGTGCAGGTCATAACCTTGTCATGATTTTTTCCAAGAGAATCATGCTGAATAAACCAATAGATCAATAAGATTTTTTTCTCTTTTCTTTCTCCTTCTTCTTCTTCTTCTTTTTTTTTAAATTAAGGTGAAAACTAATATACAGCTAATAAATAACATTTTAAATACCAAACTGAAAGTCAGATTGAAGAGGTTAGCAGATCTCGATTATCATGGCCAAACCATGATCGAATCGATTATAAATAGATTAATATATTATTAATTTAAGACTAATTTTTTAACTAATAAAAATTTAAAATAGTGAAAATTATAAATTAAAACAAATAGTTAATATTGTATGTAATAAATATTTTAGAAATATAAAATAATAAATATTTGTAATACCTATATCTATTTTATCTTATTTTATATAATTTATGAGCCATAATTATATCATATTATAATGAAAAGTGTGTGTACTTTTTTCTCCTATATATTCAAACTCAATGCACCTACTTAACAAAATTCAAGGGGAAAAAAAACTAATTGGGCTCATTTGCTAGGAAGAATTAACTGCGATGAAAAAGAAGGAAAGAAAATAGAAAGAAACAGAATGGAAAAAAAAATCTTACCACTAATGTGTTTGGTATGTACTAAAATGAAAAGGGGTTTGATACAAAAATTTATGTTCAGTAGGGTGAAAATGATACTCCTCCGGTCCTTAATATAAGACCCATTTAACTAATTTGATTAGATTAAGGAAGTTAGGTAAGTTAGTTAATTATAAGAAAAGTGACACATTTTTCCTAAAACACCACAATCATCTTTTTTAATACCCCCTCTCCTTCTTTTACTTGATTATGGTTGAGGGAGTATTCATAGGGGTAATTTAGAGAAAATTGATAAATATGAGAATGGGCTCTTATATTTAGGACCAAAACCAACTCAAGAATTGGGTCCTATATTAAGGACCGGAGGAGTAGTAAGATAAGTCAAAAATTTATACAACTGACCATATTACCCTCAATGAGTATTTATTAATCAAATTCATAAATAAAAAATAAATGAATAAAAATAATAAATTATAATTTAAATAGATACAATAAATATGAAAATTCAATAATATAAATATAAAGATCACCAAATATAAATAAAATATGCTACCTCCTATCCTTAATATATAAACTAGTTAGGATGTTAGGTTTGATACTAAATATAAGATATCAATCCACTTCATCTTCTAAATCTATAATATTTTTTAAAAAAATATCTTTATTGATTGTAAGGAGTTGGCACTAAAAAAATAGTCTTAATACATATTATTAAAGAAGGTAGTTTAGATAAATCAACACATATTTGTTATAATTAATAACCATTTTAACTAAGTTTTTTAATATTTTCAAATTAAATACCTAACTTTTATATTAAGGATCGAAGCTAGCAGTAAAAAAATTTCAACAAAACGGTCAATATAAAAATAAATAAATAAATACTATATAAAGCATAGAATGAAAATACATCCGCAAGCCAAAAGAAAGTATGATAGAGCAATTTATAAATCCGAACATAAACAAAATCAACTTATAGGTCAAATTCCAATGAGCGTACATTTCTCAATTTACATCTAAATTAGGCAAATGAGCTATCATTGGAAAGATTACTAAGTTAATTTCCAATGCAATAAGTTCCATTCAAAATTTATTTGTATTTTTAAAGTTATTTTCAAAACAGTGAGCAAAGATCACAAACATTTTTCTGACTTTTCCTCAATCTTTCAATCATGACTTTAAAAATACAAAATGTTTTTCTATCAGCCTTATTGTGTTAGAAATTAGACCTAAAAAGCTTTTTTATAATGGGTCATTTTCCTAATTCAAATTTAAATTGATAAAGTTATGAGTAATGAAATCTAAGCTTCCATTGAGGCAAGAAAGGAAATTAGGAAATTCAAATTTGTTAAGTAAGTTTGACTTTCCCACAGATTCTGCTCCTTTCTTTACCTTAACTTGCACTAAACATAATTTTCTTAATTAAAATTTAAGTTAGGCAAATTACTTATCATTAAAAAGCTCTTTGACTATAGTTCTAATGTGATAGGAATCATTCAAAACCTCTTCATATTGTATTAAAAATTAGACTCAATAGTGCTTTTAATAATAGGTCATTTGTTCAATTTAAATTTAAATTGAGAAAATTATGTTCATTACAATTTAAGTTTTAATTACGATTAGGAAAAGAGAAAATTCAAATTTGCTAGATGTCGGTCAAATCCAAGCATTTGCTAAGCAAATTTGAATTTGATGGATCAGATTCTGAATTTTCTCAAACACATGTGAAGCAAATTCGAATTTGAATAAAAAAGAATGAAAAGGTCCTTAGAAATTAAAAAGCAAATACATAAACGAAAAAGAAAAACAGAAAATGCACTAAATTTTCGTGACCCCATTTAAGTACTCCAACACTGAAACGGGATATTGAAATTTAGCCGAAAATATAGAAATGCCCTCAGATCTATTTTTTAGCTCCCCCCCCCCCAAATAGCATCGCATATTAATAATTCCAAGTCTAGATTATTAAAATGTTACTACCTCCGGTCCTAATTATAAGAGCTAATTGACTAATTTGAGGAGATTAAAAAAAGAAGTTATGTTAGTTATTTGCAATAAATATGTGTTATCTTTATTAAAATATCCTTACTAATTGAGTATATTGGCTAGAACTACCATTGTTAGAAGGACTATATTGGAAAAAATACATAAATATGAGAGACAAAGTGGATTAGGGTCTTATATTTAGAATTAAAATAAAAATCAAATAAGGTCTTATATTAAAAATTGGAGGTAGTAGTATATTTAGTTGTGCAAATATGATGATGAAAGGTTACTTCTTTACCCACTTTTCATTTTGTAGGCGCAAATATACCCCAAGTAAATAAAATTACAGATTCTAATTAACACTAAAGCAGAAACAGTTTAAGGATCTTGAATTAATTGATGACCAACTTATATGTACTTTTTTTTTCCCCCTATAAACATATTCCCTTCAAGCGACTTTTATAATGCCTTGCTTAACCTCACTACATGCTCCTTGGATCATGTAAAAACAGGGCAATCCTTAACTGTGATTCCCTTGGCCGTTGGGCAATGGGCAAGCGGACAACCATCAATGTTATTACCCCACCAATTAAGACTAATACCTTCTAATCCAAGGCAAAGATACAAAAGCACACCCATAAAAGCAAGCCCAGCATCAAGCGCACCAGAAAGCACATAATTACGACGCTTCCACCAATTAGGAAAATACCTATACGCAACAAACCCAGAAAGAAACCCGACAATAATCCATGTAGTGTAGTTCACGGCGGTAGCCGGCGGCATCATCCCGGTGGCGCCGAGCAAGACCGGAAGGTTTATAAGTGAAATCCACTCTTGTTGTGGGAAAGCCCTGGCAGCCAACCAGACTATTAGAGGGGAAATTGCACCACCCAAGAAGAACCAATTCACTGCCTCATAATAACCTTCGTCTCCGAAGATCCTACGTGGACCAATCAAACCCCAAATCACAGAAGCATCGTAGAATACTTTGTCGCTTGGACATGTCCAAACGGAGGATGTGTCCTCACATATGTCTGGGATTGCTTCCATAAGCCACCATGCTGTCCCCAAGTACACTATTCCTGAAATTAAGGTTCCCATAACCTGGGCCATGAACATTGTTCTTGGAGGGATTTTCATGTAGTGTCCTAGCTTGAAGTCTTGCAAGAATGTGATTGCTTGAGTCATACTAATGTACCCATAAACCTTAAAACACATGTTTGCCACTGGATATCCTGGATAAATATATCCTATTATGTACTCTGTTATAATGTTCAACCCTGGAGTCTGCAAAGAAACACAGATAACAATTATCATTCCAATTTATCACAACCATTGATCAATCACATAGTCACACACACACACATTTATACATACACACATATATATTAGGATTAACATGCAAATTTGTTTCAAAAGTTTTCACTTAGGAACACTAAGTACTTAAAAGTTTTTCTTTTCTAGTTCAATGTCATCCCAAAATTTTAAAATCACAGTAATGTTACCCCTTATCGTCAAAAATTTAACATTGACCATTAAAATTATTAACAATAATAAGGGCACAACATTACGATTTTAAGTTTTCGGGTGATATTGAACACAAGAAAACTTTCGAATACATAATGTTTCTGAATGAAAACTTTTAAGAAAAATTTACACATTAATCTTATATATTATTAGTCATTATTAATTAACGTACTTGGTTTGTGATTGCGGTAATTATGCCAATGGGGAGAGTGAACAAGATGGCGATACCACAAGCGAGTAAAACCCCCCACCATGGAAGCTGAAGCTGTTCATTGTAATACTCACAAGTGAATATGGTTCCTGCGATGGTTACGATCAATATGCAAACGAACCACCACTCAGGTACTTGCTTGTACCTCCTCATCAACCTTGTGTGTATATCCATTTTACTTTTCACCCAACTCGATTTGGTTTGTTCCCATATTTCTCTGTGTCACATCACATTTTACATTATATATAGTTATGTCAGTACTTGAAGAAATTGCAAAATAGATATCAATGGGGAAGGATGCCTCTAATGTCCCACGCACTCTCTAATAATACCCCTTGTGATGTGCTAACCTTCCAAATATTTTTATTTTTTATATTGATCATTAGATTCTACATAAAGTCATTGCTATTTTACTATCTTACGGGATGAAATAGGGCACTTTTTGAATTTTTTTTAATTCAAAAAAATAAAACCAGTCAATTTTCTAGTATTTTTTTAGAAAAATCTTTAAAAATTCAAAATTGCATCATTTTATACCCAGAAGATATCAAAATTTCACTTATTTTATATATGATCTAATCATCAATACAAATAAAGATAGAAACCAAAACCCACTAAAATTACAAGTGCCAAACGAGTTTCGTATTGTTTTGGTCCCTGTACTTGTAATAAGTCTTGATTTTAATCTATATACTTAACGGTGTTAACCCAAATCAAATCCTCATGAAATTAATAAAAACCAAAATCAAAATTCGATTAAATTGTAAGCACAACAATGGTATTAACGGTCAGTAATTGGAGATATAGCAAAAATAGACATCAAAATATGTATGTATGTATCATGTATGTATACATTACCTTCCATGAAAAAGAGCCACGTGTACAATTGTGGCAGAGAGAGCAGCAAAGCCAACACCGTATGTCATGGCGAAGAAAGTACTGAGATAGAGACGACCCTGTCGCTCGTAAGCCGCAATGTCCAAATGAAAATGGGAGTCAACTATGGCCGAGATATTGTATGTCTGACCATTTGACTTAAACAGCTCATCGGAGAATATGGGAAAACTTTCGGCTTTGTACACATTCAACCAATAAGAAAGTGGCGTCAAAATGTACATCACGCTGAAGAATCCAACGGCAACGTTGGCCGTGGCAAACCATGGGCTTGCTAGTGGGCTTCCTAGGTAGGCCGAGATGGTGGACCAGTCGAGCCCAATTGCTCCGATTCCAAGCCCGTAAAGCCCAGATCCAAGCTGTTGGGCCAGAACTGAGTTGGGAAATATCCAGCATATCCAAGATAGAGAAGTTAACATTTCGAAAAGGTAGCCTGGGAATACGTAATAGGCGAAACTGCATAAGAACGCAATTACAAAGAACTGGGCTCTCGTCAACCCTCCTTTGGGCCGTTCCTCTTTCTCATGCAGAGCCCTGGCAAAATAACACGTGTTTCTTTAATTATAATTTATAAAACCCGCGAGGTGTGCAACTTAATTAAATAAGAATTACTAAGAATTAAAGAAGTAATAATAATCCACAAAGATTGCTTTTTTTTAGACATGACCCACAATTATTATATTCCCTGCTTTTGCACAATTACAGTTAATATGTACCTTAATATAAGAGTTAGATAACTAATTTACGAATATTAAAAAAATTAGGTAAATTAATTATTTGTAAGAAATATGTCTTGTTTTCCTTAAATTATCCTGTTTAATTAATCATAAATATTGAAACTATTTTTTGTTTGGTAACTGTTTTAATATGTGCAATTAATATAAATACTTTGGGCAAAAAATTTAGATTGTAAATTTGGGTGAACAAAACTAATTGAGATTTTATATTTAATACCAAATTAAATTATCTATCTCTTAATAGGGGAGATAGTGGTAATTTGAGGTGAGTGAAGAGTGACCTGAAGAGTGATACTTGAACTAAATTTGCAGGCCACCACATTTCTGCTGGTTCCACGAGATACCTTCTGAATATACCCGCCCATCCAAATCCTAGTACCTATATATAATCCAATAATATTGAATTACTATTGGCATATATATTTTTGCCGATAAATCAAAATTCATATATGAAGAAATATAATTAATGAAGAAGGAAATGAAACCTGAGTGGTGAGCACAACGAGGAAGGAGACGAAGAAGGAGATATGTTTCTTATAAAACACCTTCACAACAGTAATTACATGGATGGCATAAACAGTTCCGGCACCAGAATTGGCAAAGATGGTGATCAGAACATGTTCTTTGACATTGAAGGGTCCAGGGTTGAGCGTGAACTCTAATGGGGTACCTCGGAAGAAGACTCGGTCGGTGATTTTCTCCGCCATGAAGTGGCCGAGTGGGACGACGGCAATCTGGGCGGAGATGGCGGTGATGGTGAGAGGCTCAGTGCGATACCAAAAGAATTGATTCAGAAATGACAGTAAGACGCATGAGACTGTCCCCAGCACCCACATTCGGAACGTCAGAACTGGAAGCGACGGGTCGTCGGTGGTTGGCACCGTTAAAGCCACTTGTCTCACCGGCGAGTTCTCTTCTTCTTCACCGACCACCTCCTCCTCCATAACCTCACCTTTCTTTGATACTGCGTAAAAAATCACAGAACCAGGACATCCAAGAGAAGCAGTTGAAGTGGATTAAGCTATACTAATTAAGCAATTCATGAATTACTTACAGAGAGAGGATCTGATATCATCGTCAGGAAAGGACTCTTCCATGGCTGGAACCGAGAAGAATTATGGGAAATCAGAATCAGAATCAGAATCTGAAACTAAAGAGAAAGAGAAGAGCTAGAAAGGGGAGAGAGAACGACGGAGTTATCTCTAATCGGTTGGTCCCATTTTCGAAATCTTAAAGGTGGTCACTGAGCAGAGTCATTGCATTGCTACTACTTGACCACGCTGACCCACCCACGTGCACTCTGAAAAATCTGTGTTCGAATGGAAGGTGAAGGAACCCGCCTTTGACGGTCCGTTAAACTCAGTCTTATATTATTTATTTATTTGTTTGTCAATGTATTTGTAAATTTAATTGTTTGTATTTAATTTACGGTCCGTTAAACTCAGCCAGAGAACTCAGTATTTTCCTTTTTATAATAATAAAAATAATGAAAAATATTGGCAGAAAAAAAAAATTAAAGGGACATCTTTTTAACTTTGAGATACTTATTCATACATTTTTCCTCATTTTTGGTTTCTTTATTTTTTTGTTCAGTTGGTTTCTTTATTTTATTCTTCATATTATTATTTTAATAAATTTTTTGAGATTTTTTCACATTATGTTTTTTATTTTAATTTTTATCTAAAATAATTAATATAAATTAAACATGCGTTTTTACCATATTATTATCATATAAGTTAGTTTAAGGTTTATTTTCAAATTATTTGATAACTTTATATTTAATTTTTTATGCATATATTATTATATAAGGATATAATATTATTTTTATTTAATTATTACATTACTGGTTTGACCAATCCAATTATATGAATCGTGACCCGCTAATATCTTCAGTTCAATGTTCAATTCAACTTTTAAAACATTGAATTTACCATAACATAATCATGCAACCAAAATTGGTCATGCATTAATTAGTTTGCCTCCAATGGATTGTGTGACTTTTAATTTATTTTATACTACTCTCTCCTGTCCTTTTTATGAATCACAAGTCAAACTATTGATTAAAATTAACCCAGTTGTATTTAGAAGTAACTCTAAGATGTTTTATATGAATTAAAAACAGTATTAAACTTTATCAACTCTATATTAAAATTTAATAACTTTTCAACTTTATCTCTATTTAATATATATTATACCCCATAAAAACAAAATAAGTATAATAATAAATAAAGGGTAAAATTGTATATTTATGTGAAAAAAAGTTTTCTCTGCATTATAAATCAACCAAAAAGTTCTCTCTCTTTCTGTCTTATAAATAAAATTATAGGAGTATATACTGTATAGAATCTCATATAAATGTTACTTATAAAAAAAAGGAGGGATTACTATATTCATGATTTCAAAAATAAAAAAAGGAGGGATTAATATATTCATGATTTCAAACTCTTACCCTATTTTGAATGAATCTGCACACGGTTATTAAAGTATTTTATTATATATGATAAAATACAAGATAAAATGTAGAGAGAAAAATAATAGGCTTTATTTTTATGCACGTGGATTTTAAAAATTGGATCCATTATTTTCTTTTTATTTTTCTTCTCACTTATAAAATGCTTGAAAAAAATTAAAAAAATTCAAATCGGAGATATGCTCATGTTTAGTATTTGACAATACCTCAAATAAGATTGTCTTTAAGAAAATCAAATTTAATTGATTTATTAAAACTAATTAAACATGTGTTTAACTTTATCGGTTCAATTATTGTGTAGTTTTATTTTCCCCTTACGAGTCATCGTGCACTAGTGAAGTCATATGAAACAATATTGTTAGATTAGCTACCAGTCAGATGGTTATCACATGACAGTTAGTTGGCCAACGTAGTTAGCACTTTTTTGGGGCCAAAATGTAGGTAGCGGGCTTAGCGCTTTTAACAAAAAAATTGGATGATTTGTTGTCTTGTTGCGAAGTAACTGCGACCCGTTTGGTTCAACCGATTGCAGGAATGCAATAGTAATTAAGATTGCATTACTTAAAAGATGTATGTTTGGTTGCTCTTTGGCGTGATAGTAAGATTTACCACAGTACTCTTCCTGTCCTTAATAAGTTAATATAGAATTTAATTGGAGAGTTGATGTTGGTTATGTATTAGACCTGTTTCATGTGTTTATCAATTTTTTTTTTCAAATTAACCATATTGATATTTTTCTAACAATCAAGTAAGGAGAGAAAGGGAATTAAAAAAATGCTTATGATCATTTATAAAAAAAATATATCATATTAACTAATTTAATTAATATTCTTAATATCCTCAAATTAGTTAATTAAGTCTTACATTAAGGATTCGAGAAGTAATAATGATTACCACAAAATTGGTAATCCCCATTCATAACTCTCCCTATCAATTTTCATCATCACTTAGCAAGTTCGAACCAAATTATATTTATTTTTATAATTTAATATGTTGATAATAGTTTTAATTATTGAAATATTAATCTAAAGGTTAAAAAAACAAAAGAGGAGGGAAGAGAATGGAAAGGGAAGATGAGAGGTTCTTTTCCTTCTTCTTCTTTTTCTAACCATTAGATTAATATATCTTAATAGTTTAAATTTTAATTTTTTTATTAATTATTTATAAAAAAATTTAAAAAAATTTAGTGTATTTGCAAACCATTAGAATTAAATGTTAATATAATTTGTAATGTAATTTATTAGTTATTTATTTTGGTAATTTAATATTTTAATAATAGTTTTAAAAAGATTTAAATCACAACTGGTGAAATATTAATCTAAGCTTAGAAAAAGGAAGAGGAGGAACCTCTCCTCTTCTTTGTCTGACTATTAGATTAATACATCTCAGTAGTTCAGATTTTAATTTTTATAAAGTATTTAATAAAATTTTTTTAAAAATATCCTCTGCATATGCAAACGATTAGAATTAAATTTTAATATAGTTTGTAATTTATTATTTATTTATTTTTATAATTTAATATTTTACTAATAGTTTTAAAAAGATTTAAATCTCAACCATTGAAATATTAGTCTAAGGGTTAGGAAAAAGAAGATGAGGGAAGAGAAGAGGCTCCGAACTGATGTTTCCACACTATGCTCACCCGAAATTAAGGTTTGTTTCATCACAAACACAAATAATATAGAAGTGTGTGCATATATAATGAATAGAGATAAGATCGTGAAATAATTTCTTATATTTTGTATTCTTAAATATCTTATCATAACTAATATGCTCAATTTATAGGCATAGTTTTATATCCTTTCTCATCCTATTTATAAACTTTAAATTTGAAGAAATGTATAATCTATTTTATAAGTTTTAATTTGAGTTTGTCTTAACATTTAATACGTATTTTTAATTTTATCACACACTCTCTCATCACATTTTTCCATACACATTCTTTTTAATATTTTTCATTTATTATAAAGGCATATTTAAAACTAAAAATATATTTCTAACCGATTTATTACTTTTAAATAATTTTAATTAAATTTTTTATATGTAAATTAATTATTTAAAGTTTATAATAAGGACAAGAAAGAGTATATCAAACGACCTCATCCATGTTAAATGGCAAATAGTAGATAATATAGAAAGGCCATGAATGCCACTGGAGAAATGAATTACAAGAGTAGAAAGGAATAGTAGCAACTTAGTAGAAGTTATACACTAGGCGCAAAAAAAAATTGTAATTATATGATTTAGCAACAAACGAAATTTTTTCATCGCTAAGTGGTCACTAATTTCCGTTTTTAATAATTTTAAGATACCATATAAACTCCTTCGAAGGGAAGAAGAATTTCTATTTAGCTCCAGTTTCTTTTTAGTTATTATCTCTACCATCAAATCAAGTAACTCTCCAATGGTTGAGACTTAACATCTTACATAATAATATTTTATGATATTAAATAACCAAATCACATATAAATGAATACAAATTTTTAAAATTTAACCTAAACAATTTAGATATGCATATGATAAAGTAAAAAAATTATAAGATGTTTTCATAAAAATCTAAAAAGTTGAAATATTCAGATTAAATTTCAACGATTGAAGTTTAGTTACATGTATTTTTGTAATTTAATATTATAATAAAAAATACCTAGGTCAAGTTTCTTATATTCATTACGTCGAATTTTCCTATCACACATATCTATGTGTCCTATTTTTCTCATGTGAGTTTAGTACCCATTTGGATCAATAGCAAAAAATTGTAATTTTAAATAAGCATAATTTTTATAAGTAATATTGGTTAGAAGTGATGTTGGTTAATCTTGATTTTTCTTTGAATACCTTTTCATACATGACTTTGAGAAATTTGGTTATGTCTGTGTTTTATTTATTAAAATCCTCATGGATGCATAATTACTAAAAAATATAAATTTGATAAATTTGTTTATATTTTCATTATTATATTTAAAAATAATTATTATAAACTATAATTTATAAGTTCTTGACAAGTACCTCAATATACGTTTGACAACATGTTTCTAGAGAAGTTGGCTTAAACTAACAAACTTTATTTACTATATAACATATCTTAAGCCTTGTAACTATAGCATACTATGAATGATGGAGGAGCATGGTGTGATCAAGATCAAGTTTCAAAGAAAGAACAAGAAGCCTAAATGTTTCAAAAGATCAATTACAAGGCTTTGGAGGCCAAATGACGAGCAAAAACCAAAGCTACGCAAGAGGCCTTGAATTGTCTAATAAGAGAGCTAAAAAAATTGAAGCCCATTTATTTGGAGGAAGCACATTTTAGTGAGCCTAAAAAGTATCCAAGAATGGTGATCATATTGTTAGAACCCAACAAGATGATGTACAAGGCCCGTGTGGAGTACAGATTGAAGAATTCACTTAAAATACCATGTGACAAGCAAGTGTCTTGGAAGAGGAGTATAAATGATGTCCAAGAACCTTCAAGAAGCATCAAAAGGAGTCATTATGCATTAATTATGATTTAAATTTGTTTTTTTTTAAGTTTTCCTTTTTCCTTATTTGCTTTGAATAAGGCTTTTTGGTCTAGGATTGTTCTAAAAGATTATGTTTTGATTCAGTTTCTTATTTTCAAATAGAAGACTTGTTCTTGAAGTTTAAGTCATTTCCGTTTGTCTCTATGTAATAAATGGCGCTTCTATAGTCAAATAATCA